AGGAATTCTGAGGAGAAAAAAAATTCTAAGTAGGTATCTCTTTAATTTTTTGGTGTAAAATTGTGCATAAATGCCTTTTTATAATACATTCTATACTCTGTTGAGCAAGGCGACAGATTTACCAAAAATAATTATATGCCTACTATCATTAATCCCCCCCCAAAAAAAGATACTCGAACTATTCTCGGTCTTTCTCAAACTAACTCCAATAAGACTTTTCCAATGAAGTATTTGTGAGCCCGCAAATATTACAAAGATGGTATTGCTAATAATTGGGTTCCGGAAGAAATTTCGATGCAATCCGATATCGAGCAATGAAAGTCTGTAGATTTTCTTAGTCCGACCGAACGAAATTTAATTCTCTTAAATTTAGGTTTCTTCTCCAAAGGTGAATTATTAACGGCTAATAATCTGGTTTTGGCTGTCTTTCCTCACATCAATAATTTTGAATGTCAGCAATATTTAATACGACAGACCTTTGAAGAAGCCGTTCATACCGATACTTTTATTTATTGTTGTGATAGTTTGGGTTTAGAACCAAATGAAATATATAACATGCATCTTGCTGTCCCTTCAATTGCCGAAAAAGACAACTTTGTTATTGAATTAACCAAATCGATATCTAATCGCAAATTTGAAATTAAAAATGGTAGCGACATTCAACTTTTTCTCCACGATTTAATTGGTTATTATGTGATAATGGAAGGGATATTTTTCTACGCTGGCTTTGCTATGATGTTAGCCTTGAAAAGAAACAATAAAATGGTTGGTATCGGTCAGCAATTTGAATTCATTATGCGCGATGAAAGTTTACACTTGGGTTTTGGTTGTGATTTAATTAATACTATTAAAAGTGAAAATCCCCAAGTTTGAACTCCTGAATTCCAAACAGAAATTAGCGAATTAATTAAAAAAGCCACCGAATTAGAAAAAAAATATGCTTTGGATGCTTGTCCGGCAGGAATAGTAGGAATTAGTGCTGAGGAATTTAGTAAATATGTGGAATATATTGCTGACCGTCGTCTCGAAAGAATTGGTTTACCGAAAGTTTATTTAACTCCTTATCCGCAATCCCTTGCTTGAATGTCGCAGGTCACTGACTTAAATAAAGAGAAAAATTTTTTTGAAACTCAGGTTACTGAATACCAAACTGGTGGTAGTTTGGAGTGAGACCAAGAAGAAGAAAAAAAGGACTAATTTTTTAGGACGCTATTAAATTTGATTAAGGCACTATTTCAGCACTTTAACTCCAGGTCCCATAGCAGTTGAAAGAGTCACGCTGCTAAGAAAATCTCCTTTTCAACCCATTGGTCGCAAACTAGTTATTTTATCATAGAGTTTTTTATAGTTTTCTTCTAATTGTGCTTGGCTAAAATCACTTCTGCCTAATATGATTTGGATATTTCCACTTTTGTCGGTTCTTAGTTCTTTTTCTCCTTGAAGGAATTTCTCGGCTTCCTCTAAGATATTTTCCGTTAACGAACCATTTTTTTTATTAGGATAAATTCCTTTGGGTGCTAATAGTTTTTGAAGTTGCTTAATTATTGTTTCACTGTCGGGATGGGCAAGTAGTTTGGTAAAACCTCATTGACTTTTCTTTTTAACTTTACCATTTGCTATTGTTCGTTGTTGAAGTTCTTCACTAGTTAATAATTCAACTTGCTTACTTTTTTGCAGAACGCTGATAATACTAGTTGGCAAATTGTCCTTAACTATTGCTATTTTGGCTTTTGCTGGGACAGAATGAGGTAAAGTTATTTTAGTTTTCAGAATATTTTTTTGGTTAGTTCAATTCAAAGAAAAACTGGCTTTAATGCTTTTTATCTTTTCTTGGTTATTATTTTGCAGAAAATTTAAACTTTCTGATAAAGAGTAGTATTTATTACTTGGGATTTTTTCTTTTATTTCTTGATAGCGTCGGGAATGTTTCATTATATATAATTTTGGGGTTTTATTAGTGATATGTTGTTGTAAATTGTGGGTCATAATGTGTTATTATTTTTAGTCTGATGCTGGAAAAAAGCCAGTAAAAAGTATATTGGGATAGTTAATTGTTATTAAAAAATAGATATAATGCTTATTATGGAAAAAAAAGAAAATTATTCTTTTCCTTCGGAGGAAGAATTAAAGGAAATAAGGGAAAAAACTAGTAGCCCGAGTTTATCCTTATAAAAATAAAATTTTGTTGCCTAATGCTTCGGGTGAGGAGAAATTTAAGTACCAAATTTGCCAAGCCATTTTAGTTTATCAGCAAGAGAATAATTTGCCGGTAGAGGAAGTGGCTGGGAAAATAGAAATTCCTTTAAATAAGACTTATGATATTCTATTAGGAAAAATAAAAGGTTTTCAGTTAAATGAGTTAGCGAATTATTTAGAGAAATTGCATGTTCCTTTTGAAGTAATAGTTAGAAATGACAAAGCAGGAGAAGTTAAAAGAGTTAGGTAAAGAGTGTCGGTATTATACTATACTTGATTTATTATTGCTACTAGTAAGAAAAGAGTGATTAAGAATCGGAATGACCCACGATTTTGAGGATTGGAGATTAAGGAGAGAGAGTTTTATGTTTGAAATGTTTAAAAATTAAAAAAGAGAATATGCCGCCTTTTGAAAAAGGCGGAATTTAATAGATACCGGAAAGTGGGGAGATTGTAATCCTTTTTTATTTAGGCGGGATTTGGATTTGGGCTAACTGTTCTGGTATCTCACTAGTTGTATGATTTATTGAAAGAGTCTCTTTGGATAATTTTTCATTCATGTTTGCTGCTATTTCCTCTATTTCAAGTTCTTTTCTGTATTCATTTATAAAACTTGGTTTTTTTCAATTTTCTTTATGCTCGCTACTACCATGAGTTCCGTAGACATCCCATCTATATTTATCGTTATCATACTTATCAATAACTGCTTGACATTTAGCACAAGTTTTTTTAGTTGAACCAATATAAAGCAAAGGTTTTAATTCTTTTTCTTTAATTTCTTGCTGGTTTTCTTCCTCTACGTTGCTGTTTCTTATACAACCTATTAATTATTTTCATTTCAGCATGAGTTTTTTTGTTCTTATTTTCAGTATTTTTTACTTCATTCTTTTCGCTTTCTTCCTCATCCTCGCTTTCTATATAATCCGCTTTCTCCTCTTGCTGTTGAATTGCTTTCAATATTCCTTCGTCCAAGCTATTTTCTTTAATTGCTTCGGCAATAATAAATGTATCTTGCCAAGGGGTTAACAATCTTTCATCACTGATTACGTTCATTAATGTTTCTTCTTTCATCTTTCACTTCTTTAAATAATTCAGCGGCAATCCCTTGTAGTTTGTCCCAATCAGGTTTGTTACTATTTCTACATTTTTCTGCCTCATCCTAAAATCCTTTAAAAACTGGCTTATTAGTAGCAGTCGCCTGATTTGCATCAGTGGCTCCTTTGGAAAAATCCCTTTGCAAATTTTCCCTTGAAGATTTTGGAGTAGGATTAGCCGAACCGCCTTCTAATTTAACCTGACAAATTTGCTTAACCACTTCTTTTAATAGTTCCTCATAATTCTCCTCTACATAAGGATTTCAGCAAATTTTCGTAGTTTTTTAAGATATTCCAAGGCATATTCAGGCTTTTTCCTATTGCTGGCTATGTATAGTTTATTTTCGTGATAGCAGACTGCCACACTGGTGTCTTTTTTTTGACTTTCGTTGTTAGTAAGCAAGCGTGCTAACGCATCTAAATATTTTTTTTGTTTTTCTTCTATTTGAATGTTTACCATATTTTTAATATTTTTTGTTTATGTATCAATATTATATAGAAATTTTGATTACTATTTTCTATAAATATATTTTAATAATTATAATTTCTAATCAAGCGTTAAAGATATAAAGTTATCATTATTCCTCCCACAAGGGCTTTTAGGGGAGGATTATTTATGTTAAAATAACTAACTTGATAATGATTTAACAATAAGAAATAAAAAAAGAGCCAAGACTCCAAAAACTAGAACTAAAAAGGGGACAAGCCTAAACAAAATAAAATGCGACTTTCCTTTTAAACCATATAGTTCTTTAAATCTTTCATCATTTTCACTTGTATAAGTATTAAATCTTTCGCGATAATGGTTCTTATTTTCTCTAATTAGTCTTTCTAATCAATAATGAACTTTTTTGGCTATATCACTTCACTCAAAAACCAAAATAGTGCTAAATTTTTCTTCCTTTATTCCATACTCATTAAACGCAGTTATTTTCACATAAGGATAAGTTATTTCTCAAAACAAGAATTTTTTAGCATCTTTTAAAATGACTTGGTATTTAAAACCACAATCCTTACCTGTTCGAACCATAGGAAAAACCTCATTATTTATAAAATCAGATTCTAATGATTTTTCTGCTGTAAAATGGTATATTCTGTTTACTTTTTTCATATTACTTAATAAGTCCTACTCACTTAAAATTTTGTAATTTCTCTAATTCCTTAACTTCGGGCAAACTTAATAAATAAGCCGTAATATCCTGAGTTAAATCAGTGTGTTCTGTCTCATGTTTTCGCCCAAAATCCAGTTTATAATTGGCTAATAAACAATGGGCTAACTCATGAGCGATAGTGTTAATTAATTTGTCAAAACCAAAATGCTTTTTAAAATTAGGAATATCACTTTTTAAGCCAATTAAAGAGTAGGCGAATAAACTATTGAGGTGAATTTCTTTGGTGTAGATAATTAAATTGCTGATTTCCTCTTTTCCTAGCAAAGTGCGACCATACCAATTGTAACTTAAATGGAAACCACCAAATTTGATAATAACGGAACGCAGGGGATAAATATCACCATATTCTTTAATGAGTATTTGTTGATAATTGTGATAAGCCGCGTTAATTAAGTGTTCGAAATACTCAATCATTATTTCTTATCGATGTCTTTTTGCTGACAAATGACTTCTAAGCGAAAACTACCCTCCTCCTCGGGTATTTTGTCAGCTTTTTTTTGGCACTTAATAATAGTTTTCTCATTTGTTCCTTGGTTAATCGCTTGGGAATTGTTTGCTTTTTTTCCATATTAAACTATTTTAACTCTAAATCAAAATATCCCCTTCCTTATTAGTATAAAAACTAACTACCTTCCGATAAGTCTTAAAATTGGCTTCTTTCT